GCCCTCCACATCGTGTTCCACCTGCACGTCCACCACCACGACCACCACCTCCGCCAATGTCGACCTTCTGCTTCTTGAGTGGCACCGCCTTTGAAGCCTTCGCTTTGAGGAGGAGATTTTGCTGTGTCTCCGAGTTGATCTTCCAGGCGAGCATGGTCATCGAATCCTCCACCACTGCCATCTCTGACAGCTTCTCATGCGGGTCCATGTGTCGGCCTCGGTGAAAAAGGGCGATGATTGGGTGAAGAGAAGTGGGATAGAAGAGAAGAGTGGGGGATTTTGCTACGGAAAACAGTGCAACCAACTACAAAAGTGTGGCCTCTTAGTTTTGGGTGGGAAATCAACTCTGCTTTCTATTGATGCTCATTTAGGTAAATTTCCTTTTTCTTTGTGTCTTCTTCAAGGATAGATAAATAAATTTATTATTTATAAGGATATGGATCTATTATGATGAAAAATAATAGCTTCATGTATTGGCGAGATGTGTGACTTTTCTGTTTATTCCCCAATAGAGGAGTATTCAAATATCGAAATGCAGCTACAATACTTCTATGATTCGAGGTGCTCCAACATGCTTTTCACTCTTCTAAAGTTACGAAGCAACGGATGTTCTATGATTGACCACAAACCTTAATTATACTTGTATCAAACTAAACATTAATTCAACAGAAGCTTATTTGTCATGAATCGTATGAGTGGGATTGAAAATGCAACTATATTGACCTATGATTACACACAGTTATTTAGACATACATACCAGTATTTCTTGATCTTAGTCAGTCTTGACGAACTCGTTTACACTTCACCTATGAGTTGTCTCAAATGTTGCAAAAGGCATTGCTGAGGGTAACGACATCGCAAAGGAAGATGTTTTGAATGTCTCTTAAGGCATTGTTGAGGTTAACGACATCACAAAGGGAGATATTTTGAATGTCACAAATATTTTTTATGCAATTGCGTATCTACAATGAATGTATGAGATGTTCGTGTGTTATGTGAACATCAAAGTGTGTGTGCGACGTGAATGAAATGGATGTGCAATGAATGTATGAAATGTATATGTGTATGCAATGGTATATGAAGATTTATGTGTGCATGTGTATAAGTGTGTTGCAGTGCGTCTGGGGCTACCAAAGCCACTACCACTCATCACTGACTATCCATAGTGACACGGCGGGCCAGTATTGACCCTCCTATGGGCCAACTTTGGATAGTCATCACCGATGGGTAAGATTACCGTCATAACAATCACTAACGGGTCCTCTCATTTCCTCCCCTAACCCTAGGCGGCTACGGCAAACTCTCCCCTCTAGGCTTCATCGGGGAGCCCGTGGATTCGCCTCCCGTCCGTTTGACGCTCTGGTGGCAGGGAGGGGAATCCCGGTGCTTCTGCTCCTCTTGGTAGTTCATGTTAGGGTTTTTTAGTCCTCGTAGGTGCGGCACTCGAGCGGAGGATGGCACTTCTTCTTCGAGTTTTTCTTCTAGGCTTCGACCCTCCACAAGTTCGTCCATCTGGATGTAGTCGACATAGTTTCGACATAGATTCCCGCCGTCTCGTTGAGGCGGTGAGATTGAGGTTTTTCATAATGTGACGAGATTTAATGTTAGGTGCTTCAGATCTATGCAAGGGTTTAACGGTGACAACTACAACTCCAGGGAGCTCGTCCTTAGGGCCACGTGCATGAAGACTTCCCGGCTGTCATCGACAAGATCAAGCCGGCTCTGATAGGGGAGCACTGGCAGTGACGCGTCGGCGGCTCGTTTCGGCGGCAGTAGTGGTTGTTCGGTGGTCGCAGAATCTCGATGTAATTTTTATTATATTTGAGATACTTTGTACTGCTGGTGTACATTTATAATAGGTCTGATCTTTTTCACAGAAAAAAAGTCACTAATGGGATGTTAGGGATGTATCATCACTAGTAGAAAACGGAGCTTTAAAACCGGTTTGTAAGGGCCTTTAGTGCCGGTTATGGAACCGGCACTAAAGCCCCCCCCCCCTTTAGTACCGGTTCGGCACGAACCGGCGCTAAAGTGCCACCACGTGGCGTGAGCTCACACCCTGGTATGTGGGACCTTTAGTACCGGTTGGTGTTACCAACCGGTACTAAAGGTTTTTTTTTTGAAAATTTTTGAAAAAAAATTTGAATTTTTTTCGATTTTTAATTTTTCTGAATTATTTGATGATTTAGTCTCTAATCACCTCTCTTAATTGCTCAAGTGTGGATCACTCATTCCAAATCATCTTAACTTCCCGACCGGTCACCCATCCCTCTCACTACTCCAGCTTAACTTTCGGGTTCTATTCTCCTTCGTTTGCAAGTCTGCACTTGTTGTTTTCCTGACAATAGTAAGATGTTAATCCTATTAACCCTCAGGAGTTTAGCTTGAGCATGAAGTCACACATTTCACCGTTTGAGTGAAACTATTATTCTAAAAAAACAGTAATTATTTAGTAACGCTAATATTTCTTAAATAACTTTGACCATAGTTTGATCAGATTTGACCAAAATTCAAAAAATTGAAATAATTAATTAGTAACACTAATATTCTTGAATAATTATGTAGTAACATTAATACTTCTTGAATAAGTAGTTTGACCAGATTTAACCAAAAATTTTTAAAAAAACTGAAATTTGACCATATCTTTTTTTCCTTTTGGAATTTGAGGATTCTAAAAAATTCCAAACAAGCCGTAGGCGGTCTCCATCGGATGCGGATTTTTGTGCTGAATTTTTTGATATATTATACGTTTTTTTCCGACATCGTGTGCAAAAGTTATAGCCGTTTTACGTTTTTCCTACACTTTTTGCAAAACATGTCCAAATTTAAGTTTTCAAATTTTCCTAACTAGTAGATGTAGTAATATAACTACCTCTCGAAGGATTTTATTTTTTGAAGTTTTTATCATTTTCTTTTGATTTTTTCAA